TGGCTTGTAAACTGTCGGCGTGATTTTGTACCGACTCCCTGCTCCAGACTGTGCCAGGCAAGTGAAAAGCATGCGAGTATTAAATTCTGCAAAAGACAACAATGAAGTCATTCTTCTGGCTTCCTTTTGGTGTAATCGTATATGTGTACTTTTGACACAAAGCTTCATTTCCATGACTTGCAGGACCACTTTGAAGAAAGCCAGTTTGAGGAGATCGCCAGATCACCAGCAGGGGGAAGGAAACTCAAACCCAATGCAATCCCCACACTGTTCAATGTACCCGACCCTCCCTCTCCTGTCACCCCTCAAGTAGTGTTACCTGTTAAAAATGAGCCAGGTAAAGTTATTAGTACGGAGCCTCAAGGGGACAAGGTGATGGAAAAATATAAGAAGGGAGGAACATTTATATTTCAATGCTTTGTTTTTTTCCCTCCCATGTTGTTTTTCCCCCAGTCCCCTACTCTGTATATGTGACGCTGGGACACAAAACCAGTCATAAGGGTCAATTTTGGAAATTGAGATTCATCTCAAAGCTAAATAAATAAGCTTTCCATTGATGCATGGTTTGTTAAGATACGACAATATTTGGCTGAGATAAATCTGGAATACGAGGGTGCCAAAAAATCAAAATATTGAGAAAATCGCCTTTAAAGTTGTCCAAATTAAGTCCTTAGCAATGGCCTATTACTAATCAACAATTAAGTTTTGATATATTTACGGTAGGAAATTTACAAAATATCTTCATGGAACATGATCTTTACTTAATATCCTAATGATTTTTAGCATAAAAGAAAAATCGATAATTTTGACCCATACAGTGTATTGTTGCTATTGCTACAAATATACCTGTTTGATTTATGACTGGTTTTGTGGTCCAGGGTCACATATTTGAGCCAATTCACTGAAAACTTAGCATTTAAAAAAAACAAAAGCATTATGTGCTAGTGTATTTATTTGTGTATGTTTGGAAACTTACTTATATGAAGGCATCTATGAGTAAAAAAAAAAAAAAAAGATTTATTATTTGTGATCCTCATGCCATTCCAAACCATTTGCTAGGTTTTCTATGAAAGTTTAACCCTTAAATGAATACATCAGGTCTTTAGTGAACCAGGATGTCATCCACCGGCCTCTCCCTCATTCCTTATCAATAAAATGGCAAGGAGAAAAAAAAACAAATTTGTAAAAGAATGTCTATTTTCTGTTTACATTTTTTTTTTGGTAAAAAGTTCATAGGGTCGCTAGTGACCAGCGATGTGTAATAGTGTAAAGTATATTTTTTTCTGTCCTACAGTATTAAATATCCAATATCTCAATAAGTGTAAATCACCTTTTAGACATCCATCCATGTTAGTTACGCATTCAAGCGTTAAACAGTTATTTTCTGTACAAATCATTGTCATTAAGAACAATGATGAAAATTTTGGAGATGAACAGTCCCTTTAAGGTCACTTTGTGTGCTGCAAATGAACATATTATATTGTTAATGTAGTGGAAAAGGACTTAAACATGGGGGACCATGGATATGCCCGCCGACAGCCACCTGTGGATTCAGAGGAGGATGGGGTTCAGAGGACAGACGAGGAGCGACCCTGTTCTCTCTGCCAACATTATAAAACCAAACTGGAGCAGCAACAGCAACACACAGTCAGACTACAGAGAGAGGTAACATTCATTCTAATAAATCATAATAGATTGTACATATTAGCGATTGAAAGCACATTTTATCATTTCTTTGTTACACAGGCAGAGGAGATGAAGAAACGTCTTTACAAACTGAGTAAAATCGAGAAGGGGCTACAGCTGTTCCTGTTTGAGGATCAGATACGCGCCCTAACGTTGGCCAAGCGTTCTCGGAGGGCAGTGTGGTCCCATGATACTTTACTGACAGCCCGTAAAATCCGCTGCGCAGTGGGGGTTAAAGGATACGAGTACCTAAGGGAACTGGGCTACCCTTTACCTTCTTACAGGACGCTTTGCAATCGGCTGGAGCCCAAAATGATGGTGACCACGAGTATGCAGGACGAACTGGCGGAGCTCGGCCTGGGCATCATAACAGCTTGTGACAGTCCAGAGGGCAACGTGACGAGTGATGAACGACTGATTGGAGTCATGACCTGAGACACTGTGTTTGTAAGAAACTGCACTGATGCTTGACTGTTAAATCAGCCAAAGGCAAAGCTACAGCAGGACTCACAGAGGATGTTTGTTTGCTGGGTGAAGTTATTTTGGGTTGTTGTTGTTGCATTTTGAAACAATTTGCATAAATACCACAACAGTCTGGAGATGATTCACTATTAGGGTTGCAAAAAGGTGGAAAATTTCCAGTAAGTTTCTGAAATATTCCAGAAATTTTGGAAACTTTCCAGGATTTTTTGGAATATTCCAGGGATTTTTGGAAAGTTTCCGGAACCTTACCAGAAATTGTCCACCCCTTTGCAACCCTATTCACTATTATGCGTTTTCTTTAAAGCTGCAGTCCGTAACTTTTTTTGGTTAAAAAGGATCCCAAATCAATATTTGAGCAAGTACATAACCAGCAAGTGTTCAAAACTATCACCTTAGTCTAGCCCGATTCACAACGGTTAGCTTATAATAATGTTTTCTAATTTGAGTGGTACGGGTAGGTTTTTGCGGGAAATTCGAGCATGCTGCTGCGTCATTACGTCACATCTGTAAACATAAAGAAGTTGTCCCAAGAAGTTGAATAGCCTTTTCTCACAGCAGCCAGAATAATTAAATGTCAAAAAATCATTTTGATGGTGGATTGTAATCCAGAAAGGATTATATGAAACACATGTGAATGACATAAAATTATATTCCTGTTTTAAATGTGCTTCTGATTACAGATAGCCTGGGATTACACACTATTTGTATTTTAAAGGGAGCATAGTTTGATTTTTGGGTTAAAAGAATTTCTTGTTGATTGCGAAGTAAGTATAGGATTCACACCGGTGCGGTGACTGACTGCCACACATAGCCTACTCCTCAAAACATTAGATTAATCCGTGCTGAAGCCATGCCAGAGTACAACCCAGGCAAGGAAGATAATTCCGCACACAGCTGCAATTCCAGGTTTTCAAACAGAGATGGCGACAAAAAGGCAAAACTTACGGACTGCAGCTTTAACAAAAATAAATATTTTGGTCTTGCTGCATCTGGCTGTGTAGTTGGTATCCCTTGATGCAAGTATTGCACCTGTTACCTATTTTAAGAAAATTGAGGTAAACTGTCGGTGGAGTAATTTCAGCTGTTCGCAGAATCATAAGAATGTACCCTGAAAACCAAATGTTATCACTCTAAACTTGACTTTTGCTACTGAGACAAATATATTAGAACGTTTTTGCTTGTTTCTGTGAGAGGAAGTTGACAAATGAGACTTGGTAAATGTCACTATTTTAAAGTGGTATATTGGTAGGTTTTAAAGTGGTGTAAATCTGGTGTACGAGGTTAGTAGCCAAAAAGATAGCACATAATTATAGAGCCACCACACAAATGATTCATGCAGTTGCCAATCTGAAGGGAACTGTTCTGAATGATAAACTTCTGTCTTTCTGCAAACCAGAGTTTCTGGTTTTATATTGTTTTTTGTGTTCATGTTTGCCACCCCTGTCTGTACAGTTTTATTTCAACAGCTCTTTGATGGATCCATTGTCAACTGTTTGTCTTAAAGGCATAGTTCACCCAAAAATAAACTTTTTTTTTTTTACTCAACCACATGTTGTTCAAAACCTGTAGGATTGACTTTCTTCTGTGGAACACAAAACAATGTTAGGAACCAAAATTTTTTGTTGGCTTTAACATTTTTTATGGTCACTTTTAAAAAAAAAAGTGTTTACGGAAATGTTCAAAAAAACACATAGGGATATTTGAGGAACATTTAGGGTTAAACCAGTTTAATTAAATGAGAAAAGTTTAATTAAAAGAGAAAAAACACTGGATGTTTAGTACTGGGGGGACCAGTTAACTTTTGTGTTGGTGTTTTTTTGGAGTGTACTGAAGGTTGTTACTCCATGGATTAAAGTGTGTACTTTGGCCCAATCATTTCAAGGATAAAACACTGTTGTTTGCAAAACTAAAATCAATTCCCCTGCCCACGGGATGGTGTAAGATCTTTCAAGAATGTTTCGTTGAGAGTAAATCTCAGATTGTTAACTTTGGTGTATTTATAGCAAGGCCAGACAAAAGAAAAATAGTTTAAATCTACTTTATTTTCTCATTTATTTAGCATGTGGTGCACATCTGAGACCCCTGGTCCTGTGAAAGTTCCTGTGGCTGTTAAGGGAAGGAATGAGCTGACAAGTACAGTCACATAGATTTTAATATCTATGATGAATTACTTTTCAACAAACCTATATAGTAATTGGAAAACACTGGTCACTGAGGGATTCATTGCATCATTTCAACAGGAAAGTACATTTACAGATGCACTTGTTTTTCACATGATGTGATCACTGAATGATTAGCTCAAGCAAACAGTAACAAAAACTGCCAGGGAGAAAGAAAATCAAATAAAACGTGCATGAACCGGCCCCAAGATTTTAAAGTCACTTCGGTATTTGCAGATCAATTTATGTTTAATCTTTTTCCAAATGTCAACTCCATATACAGAATATCCAGAAGGTCAATCAAAGCATTGCAGCAGTGTTAAAACAGCATTTTGACACTTTAAATGTAGATTCAAAACATATCTAATCCAAGAATGTTTGTTGTATGGTTACTTGCATGCTTTATACCTCTCTTAAGTCTTTTTATGTAAAAGGCCATACAGAAACTTTAATCATTTGTATATTTAGTGAGCTGATGTAAAATATTATTACCCCATGGCAAGGTATGACAAAATTTATTTCATGTCAAAAAAAAAAAAAAAAAAAACCTCCCTAAAATCTTGTTCAGTTTGTTATCAGTCAGTGTGTTTATCTTGTATTCATATTTATCTTGGATCACTCACTTTGTAGTACACCAGTCCCCGATCCCATCTTTTACTGGTTTGTTCTGTTTGTTTAGGGGGAGGTTTGTCCAGATTGAGACCTTTAAATGTGTGGACCAGACAACTTCTTTATTTTTGACCCAGAGGAGGCCAAGGGACAGAGCTTGAGGTTTGTGCAAATCATGCCAGTTTTGCCTTTTTGTTTATGCGTGTATGGGATAAAATGAATGTAAAACTAACTAACGAAACATCAAAGTAATTGATTGTGTAGTATTTTAGTTTGATGAGCTGGTGGTTTTTGTTTGCAGCTATTGCGGAGGGTGAAGTTCAGCAGGCATGATGCAGGCTCTCTGGGCTCTGTGGTTGTCTGCTTACGCAGCTCTGCATTGCGCTTCACCGCTGTTTTTGGAGAAGGAAAGCACTGGCTCCAGAATCTGTAAGCCTGCTCCGATGTGGGAGATCGATGGCGAGATTCCAATGAAGGACCTTCTAGGAAATGTAGTTGTTGTGGCTCTTCTTAAAGCGAGCTGACAGTTCTGTCTCACGCAGGCTGCCAGGTGAGAGATCTTGTGCTGTGTAATTTACTGGCTTATTCTTTAAAGTGATGCCTTTCCTAGTTAGAGATTTTTACAGTCAATATTTAACAAACAAGAAAAGAAACTGTAATTATAAAGAGCTATTAGAAAGAGACACTACTGATATTTCTACACTTTTTAATGGGAGAGTTCACCCATAAAATGACAATTTTGTCATCATTTACTCACCCTCATGTCGTTCCAAACCTGTATGAGTGTCGTTCTTATGTTGAAGGTATTTTGAAGAATGCTGGTAATCAAATAGACTTCTTATTATGGAAGTCAATGGGGATCAACAACTGTTTGGTTCTTCAAAATATCTTCTTTTGTGTTCAACATAAGAAAGAAACATACACAGGTTTGGAACAACATGAGGGTATGATGTAAATGAGTAAATGATGACAAAATGTTCATTTTTGGGTGAACTATTCCTTTAAATTTGTTTACTATACATAACATTTAAAATTGCCTACTATACAAAATTGTAACAGGTTTAACATTTTAAGATTTTTGCCAACTGACAAAAGTAACAAAACAATAACACACAGTGCAGAAAATGGTGACTTTTACTTATGTTTCATTCTAAAAAAGGATAAGGCCATTATGACATTTTTTTTTTGATAAATGGGATAGTTAAAAATAATTAACTTTTTATATATTTAAAGAAGAAATACAAAATAATAGCCTTTATTTGCATTTATTTATATACACGTTTTAGTATTTAGTAATCATACAAATTAAAGTAAATAAACGTCATCAAATTCATTAGAATATGTAATAAAAATACTATGTATGTGAGGTACAGAAATGACAGCCAATTTGTATAATGACCCTCCTTATTTAAAGTGACTGTTTTTATTTCTAGTATAATTTCAGGGTTTGTGCTGCTGTGTACTAATGATCTTGGTAAACGGCCCAGTCAGTTAAATCTGCTTGTGTTCTCTTCCTTTTGTTTCGGAAGGTTGGGAGACCTGCGTGACAAGCTGGCCCTTGGCAAGCTGACAAACATATCATTCCTGGTTGTCAATGAGCAGGATGCACAGTCCAGGGCCATGTACTGGGAGCTGAAGAGGAGGACGGCAGAGGGCATCCCTGTGTATCAGCAGAGCCCACTGCAAAACGACATCTGGGACATCTTGGGGGGAGACAAAGATGATTTTTTAGTTTATGACAGGTATGGGCTAAACACACTTCTAAATCCATCCAGTAATATGACCAGTCTGACTAGTTTCTCTTTAGAGTCACATGACTCTTTTGTACTCATATGAAGGTTATCCAGAAAAAAAAAAATTAACATCTGAGATCTTTTTCTCAAGCATTGTTTTCTGTGTTCAGTATCATGGTCATTCTTTTGTATTTCCTTTCTGCACAGATGTGGACATCTCACCTTCCACATTGTCCTGCCCTTCAGCTTTCTTCACTACCCTTATATAGAAGCTGCCATCAGGGCTACATACCACAAAAATATATGCAACTGCTCAGTGAGTGAAAATATTCAAGTTTCAGAAAGTGCTGCATTTATGAAATGTTTGCAAAAAATGTTCATTTATTGAAACTCTCTTCCAGTTACATGCAAACTCCTCCATATCAGAAGGCTTCGAAAACAACAAAAACATTGCAAATGAGCCTACAGAAGTGAACAACCAGAAGACTAACAATACAGAGCCTGTAACTGTTGAGCATCATCACCATCAACATGAGCATCATCATCAACATGTGCATTATCATCATCACCAACATGTGCATCATCATCATCATCAAAATAAAAATAACAGCACAGGTGATTCAGATGTGACCAGCGTACCAAAGGAACCAATCCAGCATTCACATCAAGAACATAGTCATCACAAAAGGTAGTTTTTTTTTTTTTTCGATAATTGTTGTATTTTGGTTTAAGAATTTACTCTTTTTTTTTATCTATATGGAGCTGCTCTTGTGTCAGACCTTATATTTACCTTTAAGGGGGAATTCAGTTGGTTCTCGTTGCTCTTAATGAAGTGTGCACTTTAAACCTGAGTCAGGGGTCTGCATACGGATGTTGAGCAGAAGAGTCATTTACACAAGACTTCTGTTTCCCTCCTTCCTTTTAGGGAATATATAAGAGTGCTGAACGAAAGAGTTTGCTATTTGTATTATTTGTTAACTGCCTTGTATTTATGTGATTATATGATGTGTTAAGGAAATATGTTTATGACCCAAAGTGGTATGCAAGGAGCTGTATAAAAATAAATCTACATCAGCATTTAATATACAGCATCTACCATGTGTCATTTTTCCTGTCAAAACCTTAAGCTGATACTGGGCTGTTGAATTTGGAAATTATTTGTTAGTAGCTACTGGGTTCATGGTTGCATTTATGGTCATTCAGGTTGGTCCAAGATGATCTATTTTAGAAGATGGGGCTGGGACTGACCTGGTAGACCTTGATCATGCTGGTCAGGGCTGGTAGACCACCTTGGACAAGTAACAAACCAGCTACATGTTCCACAAAACCCACCGTCAACTCATATAATGTATTTAAGAAATTTAACAAAGTATCACTTTTCAGAGAAGACAATACAGCCTGTAATTAGTGCATTAAATTGAGAGTAAAGCTTTAAAAAAAATTCTGCCTATTAGTACAATTATTTCTAAGTTTGAGAAGTCATTTGCAGGTTACTTTATAAAACTAGGCCTAAAAACTGTATTAATTGTGTATTAATTAGGCTTAATTGATAGTGTCCTTAAAAAGCAACTGTTAAATAGCTAATACGGTGCAACGCTCAAAATAGCTGATGGTAAAGAATAAAGTTATCCAGGGGATTTTGGTAGGCCTAATCCGTTTTGGGGAGGATGCTATAGCCTAAACTCCTTAACTCCTCATTGAGCCACTGATTTATGCTGAACGAGAGCTCTGTGTCGTAATTCCGTTGATAACATCATATTTTCCCTCTCGTGGAACGAAAATAGCGATCATAATTTACATTTTTACCCAGTTACTCCTTTAGTTACACCCGTTTCAACGAACTCTCTCGCTGTTCTCAAATGCAACCGATGGATGGCGCTGTTTGGGCATTACTGAATGAACATCAAGCGCAATGGTAAGGCATTTACGCTTAAAATAGCCAACAGTTTCTCAAATATTGATAGACTGATTAAAATAGGCTACTTTAGGGCTTGTTTTAGTTTATTTGTTTGCTTGTTTCTTATTTTCTTTTTACAATATGTCCATACATTAACAAACACCGGTTCTCTTTCATTATTAATCGCTCAGGTGTCTGTGTCCTCGTCGACATGGCAAAGGTTTCAAATATTTCACCAATGGGTCCTAGAAAACGGAGGTATTTTTCCAGCAAGTACATGTCTGATGTTCTACTTTAAATCTGCTCTTTATCATTTTTATATGACGTAATAAACTACAACAGCTTATTCTTTTTTACTTATTTTCACCGATACAAATAGGCTGCATTTGACTAGGTCCCGACGAAAGCAGTCTGAAAATACTATTATAAACTACGTTAACCACTATATCAGGCCATTTAACGAGACAATGAAGCAATTGTTTCATTCCCGCAGACAAGAGGACCGATGGATGGCTTTTGGTTTATTCTCCGTTGCCTGTCGGTGGGATCTTCCTGTTTAACTTGTCATCGTCTGGCTTGGTCCCAAACTGATGTCTTACAGAGAACCAGTCAACATCAAAGCTCTCCTTATTGTTTACAATTTTTCCATGGTGTGCCTTTCTGCTTATAAAAAAAATTAACATCTGAGATCTTTTTCTCAAGCATTGTTTTCTGTGTTCAGTATCATGGTCATTCTTTTGTATTTCCTTTCTGCACAGATGTGGACATCTCACCTTCCACATTGTCCTGCCCTTCAGCTTTCTTCACTACCCTTATATAGAAGCTGCCATCAGGGCTACATACCACAAAAATATATGCAACTGCTCAGTGAGTGAAAATATTCAAGTTTCAGAAAGTGCTGCATTTATGAAATGTTTGCAAAAAATGTTCATTTATTGAAACTCTCTTCCAGTTACATGCAAACTCCTCCATATCAGAAGGCTTCGAAAACAACAAAAACATTGCAAATGAGCCTACAGAAGTGAACAACCAGAAGACTAACAATACAGAGCCTGTAACTGTTGAGCATCATCACCATCAACATGAGCATCATCATCAACATGTGCATTATCATCATCACCAACATGTGCATCATCATCATCATCAAAATAAAAATAACAGCACAGGTGATTCAGATGTGACCAGCGTACCAAAGGAACCAATCCAGCATTCACATCAAGAACATAGTCATCACAAAAGGTAGTTTTTTTTTTTTTTCGATAATTGTTGTATTTTGGTTTAAGAATTTACTCTTTTTTTTTATCTATATGGAGCTGCTCTTGTGTCAGACCTTATATTTACCTTTAAGGGGGAATTCAGTTGGTTCTCGTTGCTCTTAATGAAGTGTGCACTTTAAACCTGAGTCAGGGGTCTGCATACGGATGTTGAGCAGAAGAGTCATTTACACAAGACTTCTGTTTCCCTCCTTCCTTTTAGGGAATATATAAGAGTGCTGAACGAAAGAGTTTGCTATTTGTATTATTTGTTAACTGCCTTGTATTTATGTGATTATATGATGTGTTAAGGAAATATGTTTATGACCCAAAGTGGTATGCAAGGAGCTGTATAAAAATAAATCTACATCAGCATTTAATATACAGCATCTACCATGTGTCATTTTTCCTGTCAAAACCTTAAGCTGATACTGGGCTGTTGAATTTGGAAATTATTTGTTAGTAGCTACTGGGTTCATGGTTGCATTTATGGTCATTCAGGTTGGTCCAAGATGATCTATTTTAGAAGATGGGGCTGGGACTGACCTGGTAGACCTTGATCATGCTGGTCAGGGCTGGTAGACCACCTTGGACAAGTAACAAACCAGCTACATGTTCCACAAAACCCACCATCAACTCATATAATGTATTTAAGAAATTTAACAAAGCCTCACTTTTCAGAGAAGACAATACAGCCTGTAATTAGTGCATTAAATTGAGAGTAAAGCTTTAAAAAAAAATCTGCCTATTAGTACAATTATTTCTAAGTTTGAGAAGTCATTTGCAGGTTACTTTATAAAACTAGGCCTAAAAACTGTATTAATTGTGTATTAATTAGGCTTAATTGATAGTGTCCTTAAAAAGCAACTGTTAAATAGCTAATACGGTGCAACGCTCAAAATAGCTGATGGTAAAGAATAAAGTTATCCGGGGATTTTGGTAATCCGTCTTGGGGAGGATGCCATGTGTGAACTCCTTAACTCCTCATTGAGCCACTGATTTATGCTGAACGAGAGCTCTGTGTCGTAATTCCGTTGATAACATCATATTTTCCCTCTCGTGGAACGAAAATAGCGATCATAATTTACATTTTTACCCAGTTACTCCTTTAGTTACACCCGTTTCAACGAACTCTCTCGCTGTTCTCAAATGTAACCGATGGATGGCGCTGTTTGGGCATTACTGAATGAACATCAAGCGCAATGGTAAGGCAAAAATAGCCAAAATAGCCAACAGTTTCTCAAATATTGATAGACTGATTAAAATAGGCTACTTTAGGGCTTTATTTGTTTGTTCCACAAAACCCACCATCAACTCATATAATGTATTTAAGAAATTTAACAAAGCCTCACTTTTCAGAGAAGACAATACAGCCTGTAATTAGTGCATTAAATTGAGAGTAAAGCTTTAAAAAAAATTCTGCCTATTAGTACAATTATTTCTAAGTTTGAGAAGTCATTTGCAGGTTACTTTATAAAACTAGGCCTAAAAACTGTATTAATTGCGTAGCCTATTAATTAGGCTTAATTGATAGTGTCCTTAAAAAGCAACTGTTAAATAGCTAATACGGTGCAACGCTCAAAATAGCTGATGGTGAAGAATAAAGTTATCCAGGGGGTTTTGGTAGGCCTAATCCGTTTTGGGGAGGATGGTATAGCCTAAACTCCTTAACTCCTCATTGAGCCACTGATTTATGCTGAACGAGAGCTCTGTGTCGTAATTCCGTTGATAACATCATATTTTCCCTCTCGTGGAACGAAAATAGCGATCATAATTTACATTTTTACCCAGTTACTCCTTTAGTTACACCCGTTTCAACGAACTCTCTCGCTGTTCTCAAATGCAACCGATGGATGGCGCTGTTTGGGCATTACTGAATGAACATCAAGCGCAATGGTAAGGCATTTACGCTTAAAATAGCCAACAGTTTCTCAAATATTGATAGACTGATTAAAATAGGCTACTTTAGGGCTTGTTTTAGTTTATTTGTTTGCTTGTTTCTTATTTTCTTTTTACAATATGTCCATACATTAACAAACACCGGTTCTCTTTCATTATTAATCGCTCAGGTGTCTGTGTCCTCGTCGACATGGCAAAGGTTTCAAATATTTCACCAATGGGTCCTAGAAAACGGAGGTATTTTTCCAGCAAGTACATGTCTGATGTTCTACTTTAAATCTGCTCTTTATCATTTTTATATGACGTAATAAACTACAACAGCTTATTCTTTTTTACTTATTTTCACCGATACAAATAGGCTGCATTTGACTAGGTCCCGACGAAAGCAGTCTGAAAATACTATTATAAACTACGTTAACCACTATATCAGGCCATTTAACGAGACAATGAAGCAATTGTTTCATTCCCGCAGACAAGAGGACCGATGGATGGCTTTTGGTTTATTCTCCGTTGCCTGTCGGTGGGATCTTCCTGTTTAACTTGTCATCGTCTGGCTTGGTCCCAAACTGATGTCTTACAGAGAACCAGTCAACATCAAAGCTCTCCTTATTGTTTACCATTTTTCCATGGTGTGCCTTTCTGCTTATATGTTTTATGAGGTATGAGAACAAAAATATTAAATACTTGATTTCCATTCATTCATTCATTCATTCGTGTTTTGCTTTTAGTTCACAGCATCTTCTTGGTTGGCAAATGAGGGTAAGCACATTATTTTTATATAGATTATTTGTATTTTCCCCCAAGAAGTTAATATTTATGCAACAGTAGATGAAGAATTATAATTATTGCTTTTATTGATTTTGTGCGATTTTAATGCCATGCAGATGGCCAGAGTGTGCTGGTGGTTTTACTTCTCGAAAGTCATTGAACTTACTGATACAGTAAGTGAATCTAGTCCTTTGATATCAGATAGCATTGTTTATGAATGTCTTATGATGTTTTATTACATAAATAAGTAAATGGCATTATCATCAGGTGTTCTTCATTCTGAGGAAGAAGAACAATCAACTGACCTTTTTGCATGTGTATCATCATGGCACCATGATTTTCAACTGGTGGGCAGGGGTCAAGTATGTTGCGGGAGGGCAGTGTAAGTGTTCTTACCTTGGATTTTATTTACATGCAACAGTCCCCTTAGCACAATGTTACAATGTTATACTATCAATCAAGAGACATATTTAACGCAAAGGTTGTGTCAAGTTTTTGAATAGAGGTGAAGTTTAAAGAAATAGTTCACACAAAAAGTATAATTTGCTAAAGATGTACTCACCCTCAGGCCGTTCAAGATATACTTGAGGTGTTCCCAATCAGAACAGATTTTGAGAAATGTAACATCACATTATTTGCTCGTCAATGGATCCTCTGCAGTGAATGCCATCAGAATCAGAGTCCAAATGTCATGTAAAGTGAAAAGCTACATGTTTGTAATTGACAAATTCATTATTAATCCGTCATCATTTTTGTCCTATCACATCAAAATCCACCGACATATTTTTTTACAACAGTTTTGGACTGTTTTCCCTTGTAAACAGTGCTTAATCTGTGCATATTTCTCTCCTGATTCAGACAAAATGACTTTCATTGGAAAAATAAGTATTTTGGATAGAACGCTCCTATTTTAGCCGGAAACAACTATGTGAAGTTAAAAACATCTTAATAATGAATTTATTACAAACACAGTTTTTTACTTCACAAGATGTTAATGGATGGACTGGAGTCGTGTGGATTACTTGTGGATTAATGTGATGTTTTTATCAGCTGTTTGGACTCTCAATCTGACGGCACCCATTCACCTGATCTACATCTTGGATTTTTGGGTGAACTATTCCTAATCATTGTGTAACATAAACTATTAGGTTGAACTATTGAAGGTCCAAAAGTCTGAGACAACATTTAAAATATAATTTAAATCTGGTATTACGACACAAATCCAAATACTCAAACAAACTTCACCTGTACTCAAAATCAAACGGTGCTCTCAGATCACACACACATGAGTCAATAAAATAAACACTACAGAGCATTCATTAGACACTACAGAGAAAAATGGAGAACACAGCATCCAGAACATTACAGAAAAAAAGTATATTGAATTGAGTAAACAATTTAAAAACAATTTTTTTTTACAAAAAATTAAAATAAAAAATGTATAGTAATTGCAACTAAGGTGAATATATTGTATAGGCCTACTGTATGTACTGCAAGAATAGTATTGTGCTGAATATTGAATAGTACTGAATGTTTGTATATATTCAGTAGTTGGATACTGCAAAAATGCTGCAGTTCAACTGCAAAGGCCAAAATGGTCAAATAAAACTCTAAATAGCATGTTACAGTACACTTAAATACTGTAAGTTGTGCAATTGTAAAATCAGGGTCAATGAGAGATTCATTCTGTCTCAGCATCATGTCTTTGTGCTTGAGTCCGGCCTCAGGACTTTGTCCACATCACAAGTAATGTCTTTTTTGCTAGACAAAGAGAAAAAAACCCACTGGTCTGACAGATCCAGCATTGATAACACTCTCTAAGCCTTACTCTTTCTCTCCGCACCCTCTTTCTCCTCATCCTTAACTTCTTACATGTACTCTTCCTCCTCTCCTTCTCAGATTGTTTCCATCTATTGTTCGTATCATCATTCAGTCACCTGTGCCACCTGTGCACTCTGAACTGGCTTATATTTTGTACAGTTGGTTTGATCACATCATTAGAAACAAGTGTGAACAATTTTTAATCGTGTGTAAACGATGACAACTGTGCTTTAGTTGTGTTTAACGTTTGCCGCTTGTGTTTAGCATTTTGCAGCACAAATGTATCACAGTGTGATAAGTGTTTAAGTGAATGAGAATGTGTTTAGAGTTTTGCAAAAAGAGTGCATGAGATTTGCAAATAGAGCCTAACTGCCTGAACGTGTTTAAGGTTTAGCAGAAAGAGTGCTTTATTCGACAAATTAGTTTAAGCTAGTGAGAATTTGGTTCAGAGATTGGGGTTTAGTGTTTTAGCAATTCAGAAAAACTGTAAACTAGCACAAAAGTTTCTATTGAAGCATAAGATGCTGATTAGATCATGTCAAATCACGCTGGAGACTTTCATGTTAATTTTCTCTCAAATTATGCTATAATTGCAGTATAATTTGTAATAAAATATTTTGGACCCCACTGTATTAATGTACTGTAATTAACTAAGAATTTTTTCAGCTCCTAAATGTGATTCTCCATTTTGGTGCTTGATGCAGATGCAGTAGCACTCTGACACCACTAGATGATGTATTGCTTCAGAAATAGACAATGAAAGTATTGTGAAATGCATGTGGTATTGTCTTTATGTTAGGCAACTGATAAAATATTTTATTCAGAGTGCCATATGTTCTGAAGTGTCAAGGCAGAGAATGATTTCCTAAAGATGTTCTCTTTCCCTCAGCGTTCCTTATTGGCCTCATAAACTCTTTTGTTCATGTGGTAATGTATATGTACTATGGCCTGGCAGCATTGGGCCCCCAAATGCATAAGTACTTGTGGTGGAAACACTACCTCACTTCGCTTCAGCTGGTGAGACTTTCAATATGATTTTTTTTAGGGAATAATAATTTAACATAAATGCTCGGTTACTTTTGTATCACTCTCTCTCTCTTTGTCCCCCTTAGCTCCAGTTCTTCATTGTGACCATTCACACTGCAGTTAACCTCTATGCTGACTGTGAATTTCCTGACTCCATGAATATTATAGTGCTCGGCTATGCCTTCAGCCTGATCGCTTTGTTTAGTAACTTTTATTATCAGAACTACATTTCCAAGAAGACCAAGATGGCATGATAGCGTGAAGATTAAAATATTTATTACATACTATGACTGTTTGAATAAAAATGTGTCATCCATTGATCCACAATGTGGCGATTGAGACTGTCTTAATCCTTTATCTCAGATCCATTTGTCTGTGTATTCTCCCCTCCTCCAAACAGAGTCCATACAATCTCTACACTCCCATCCCCCTCTGGTCATTAGGGATTGAGACCCTGCAATGCTCTAGTGATCTGGCCAAATTGAAATAAACCGAGTCCACCTTCTGCTCCTCACTCACTTATTTATCTAATCTCCCACTGTGACACTTTATTTGTTTACCACTCATTGGATAAGGTCAACCAATCACAGTGTAGCTGGGGGGAGTGGCTTATTTAGGGCTCTGCCTTCTCTACAGCTGCCCTCTTCTACCAGGTCTTAAACCTATACCTTTTTAAAATACTGAATGTTACCTCTGAAAGGTACTAATATATATATATATATATATATATAATAGCCAATACATTATTTAATAATGCTGTGTGTGTGTGTGTGTGTGTAACATTGTGGGGACCAAATGGTGACGAGGGGGAAAAAATTATTAAAAATAGTAAATGATGTTTATTTGAAAGTGTAACAATGCAAACAAGTTTTCTGTAAGGGGCAAGTTTAGGTTTAGGTTAGGGTTGGGTTAGGGCACGTGTCAAACTCAAGGCCCGCGGGCCTATTCCGCCCGCCACATAATTTTATGTGGCCCACGAGAACATATGATTGTCTTAAAATAAAAATCTATGCAGCTTTATATCGTAAATTATGAACGCCCCGCGGGCCTATCCCCCCCGCCACATAATTTTATGTGGCCCACGAGAACATATGATTGTCTTAAAATAAAAATCTATGCAGCTTTATATCGTAAATTATGAAAGTGCGTATGAATATCACAAGTTTCTGTTTCTATTTGGCGTTCTATTTATACGCATACGTTGACTTTGGTGTGCATATAGTAGGCTACGCAATGGTTAGGATTAGGGTTTTTCCGTTGATGATGACTGCGTGGACGGCTCAAAGGAATACGTGCGGACCTCAGTGCTAGAGCCCCACCGACGGAAATGGACAAACACAATAGTCTCCATTCAATTAACGAATTAAAAAATCGATTGCAGCTTTCAGACACGACTTTCTTCTCGTTTTAAAAGTTCGTTTGAGGCGGTTTCTATCGAGTTAATTTAATGACAAATGTCCAGAGCGCATATATGCGAGAGCGCAAATATCTCCGCTTGCACAGGTGGATTCCCATTCATTCACTCTCACAGAAAACGGACACGCTTTCTATCGATCAGACATTAGCCTATATGCGTGCGCTCAAAAATATCTTCTCTCCTGAGTTTAATAAACGCAACCTGGAATGTGGGCATCCACTGGCAGAAACATACATTGGCGCATATGCCAACTAATGTAAATAAGTACTTACATAGCATAACAATAGTAAGGCCGTTTCACACTCAGCGCGATGCGAAAAAGCGAGGCGAATCGCCGACGAACGTTGGCTTTCACACAGAGCACGAAACGATTGATCGCCGCCTGCTAATTCACGCCTGCACGCTAGGTGGTGCCGACCAGCAATGCATTTTTACTCAAGATATGTATCTCATTTATGGATATCGTCCACTGCTCAATATACAGCATTACATATAGCTAAATAAAGTTTAGTTCTACGCCAGAAACACAAACTATCTATAATGCTTGCAAGAAAACATCTTAAAATATAAATATAAGTACAATTAGCATCAAGCCACATTTGAACATTTATGTGATTAGGCTATTCATGTTTTTGCTTAAAACCCACTATAAATCATCATCGAGTGCTTGTAATAACTTCCGATTGTGATCTACAAAGAGTGCATGTCTGCCTATTATAGAATCAAAATCAACTATATATTAGGCAGACATGCACTCTTTGTAGGCTATGTTTAATAACGCCACTGCTTATTGTCATAAACATCCTTTATTGTTATAAAATTACCATGAGATGCATACAAAACACATACAGAAAATATATCGTCATAATCACATGTCTATTTGCTTTCATATTTCATGTGTAGAAAAATGTTTCACTCGTCTTTCTAAACACGGAAGATCTATCGAATGATCGCGCCTGGTGTGAATAGCCCCAGATCTAGCCCAGAAATAGAATAGATCTATAGTTTCGATTCAAAAGCGTCATCGCGCCGAATTTTCGCTTTCAGTGTGAAAAGCCCTGTAGTCTAAATGTAGGGCCTATCTGTTTCACACGCGTCAACAATACATTATGAAAATAAAAAGAAGCAGTTTTTTTTGCGATCAGATCAACTGGCAAACTCCTGGAAAGTCTAAGGATCCAGTAAGCAAATGCATTCAAACAGTATGTTCAAAACAGCACTAATGCAGAGAAAACATGGCCGATTTCATCAGAGATGGCAGAGATAATAGTACTCACGTACAGTTCTCAGTAAAAAAAATACAAAATCAGCAAGCTAGTAGGCTTAAAAGCACGAGTGTGTTATACTGGATGCTGGCTGAAGGTGTTTTAGATTACGCAGTAGTCAGTGTGGTTTAGTAAGATGTCACCCTTATTTACCTTGCTCGATGTTACAACAGAAAGCCTGTCATTCATTCAGCACTTATCATGGCCATACGCGCAATCCGCAATTCTCAAGTGCAATATTATAGTAATACTATAAATCTGCGGAAGCATTTGATATCACGCATAAGGCGCCATGATTTCCGCAATGAATGAATGGCGGATGGCGCGGCGCACTTTGTTTATACACACATACTAAAGCGCGGATGACGCTGGCGGTATTTTCAGCTTCTGCCGTCTCACTATATGATGATATGAACACGAATGTCATCTCCAGCTGCTCTGAGAGTCACTTCATTAGCATTTTACCGTTTCATTTGAGAAAACTACCGTCATATCACATACACAGCAGCTGCAAGTTCTTCACGGCAACCCGTCAAAATAAAAGTTTAGTTTAACCTTAAGAAACTGTCAGAATATATTACTATTTAGCAGTCTTAAGAATCAATGCTACTACTGCTAATAAATATGAATAAATCTTTATTTTTAAAGGAATAATCACATCTGTTTTCTTTTTAATTTTAACAGTAAACCTCTGTTGTGCAGCACTTTGTTTGCCAAAAAATAAAAGGGTTTAATTTTCATTTGATTAGGATAAATTAAATTAATGTTTTATGCCTTCATCTGATTACCAGAAAAATTAAGAACATGTTATAGGGCCCTATTATTGTTTAAAAAAGGACCCTATACAAAAAAAAAGAATAAGGTTTAAAATACAGGCACGTGGTTCTTAATTTCTTTTTATTAATTCACCATTTGTAAACTGATGTTTACTGTTCATTTTTTAGAAATATCAATAGCATTTGTATTAAAACTATATTCACTGAATGTAATCCAGAAATCGAGAATCGAATCAAATCGAGAGCTTGCAAATCGAAATCGA